ACGGACTCGACGGACGCAGACAAAGTAGCGGAGTCTCAAAGTAGAAGTCTTCAAATCTCGATGCCGGATAGGCAAGTCGCACAAAGCAAGCGCAGTAGCTCAAAACTGGTTGCCCGTACTGGGCTTGAGTCCGGTCTCAAGTACCGGACTCCAGTTCAGTCCCGAGGGCAGAAGTGCAAATTGCCTCAGGGCTGAACTGAAAATCAAAGGTCTGAGTCTGGGCGCCAGAATGCCGGATGGCGCCAAGTATCGAAATCCGAAAGTGCCAAAAGAGGAATTTGATAACGGGCGCCAACATATGGAGCTCCTGCGCCATCGGTTAGCGCAAGTTTTTAAGTGCCAAAAGAGGAATTTGATAACGGGCGCCAACATATGGAGCTCCTGCGCCATCGGTTAGCGCAAGTTTTTGCGCTGCGTTATTTCGCGCTAGCGCACGGCCCCGGCCCCGGCCCCGGCCCCGGCCCGACGGGCTGACACCAACCACAATCCGTCTTCCACCACCCTCCCGCCGAACTGCCCGCGCACCGTGCGCGCCCGACTTTGAACGTTTCGAAGTTGGGCGGGAAGATGCCCCGCCGAAGTGCGCCCCCTGGGCGCATGCCAACACAAAGAACGCTGCTGCATAGGCGAACTTGGGTGGCCAATAGCAGCAGACATCCTGCCGGCAGCTCAACCCGGCCATCATCTCCAGAAGACCGAAGACTGAAGAACGAGCCTAAGCCAGAAGCCGCCTCCGCTGGACAACAAGCAACAGGTAGAGGAGCGAAGAGACCCGCTCCCTAGACGGCATCAGGCCCCACGATAGTCCCACATTCAGCCGGCCGCAGCGAAGAAGAGCAAGCTCTAACGACTCCTCCGTAAGAAGCTACGTACCACCATCCCCGTCTACACTGTCTACGACCCCACCGGCACTAACTCTCGTTAACATATCTATCCAAGCTCCCATCCCGATTCTACCGAGCTCTCCCCCCCCCGAAACCTACCAGATCAGCCCACCCGCCTCATATAGGCGATAGCCCTCTCCCACGCCCGCAGCCCCCAGCCTCCGGCTCCTCTGTCACGTCTCTAACCCCCACCTTCCACTCCCCTCAACACTATCGCCTCATCGTGGTACATCTCCCCCCCTCACCTCTCCGGACAGGAGCGACAAAACACCATCCATCCTCCTTCCCCGCCAGCGCCCCCAACCCCCAGCCCCGTATCCAGCGCTTTCAGAACTCCCCCAATCCGATCCAGACTTTGCAACCCCGGTGTCTCCTCCCACCCCCATAATCCGCCAACCTGCATTTTAATCTTTCCCGCCGCTCTCCACCCACTTCATACCTCAAGATCCGACTCCGTCGCACTCGCCAATCCGATCGCCAATCCGATCGCCAATCCGATCGCCAATCCTTCTACTCCAGTTCGTATCCTGCAATCTACCAAGTCATGCGACGTTACTACAGCTCACTCATCCTCTTAAATTCCCACCCGTCAACAATACACTCACAACAAAGCAACCAATCGTCCATCCTACTCAAAGATTCCCCACCCAAACTTCCCCCGCTCACGATCTTCCCCACGCAATCTAACCTCCAATATTCTCTCATGCACCCTACAACAAACACACACGGTGGATAGGAGGTCATAAGAACACCGATCTCCATCACTACTCACGGCCAAAAGAAGAAAAAGAATAATGCTGACTCCACCCCTCCCCCCCCCCCCCCCCGTTTTCACTAGACCGACTCTCACTTCCCCCCCCCCCTCTCACCAACCCTGAATAGCCGGATACACATCTACTCAAAATCTCTCCGGGAGATCCTGACATCGATAACACACCAAACACTGGCTCGTGGCCACGCAGGCAAGGCAAGGCCACCCACCGAACACTTCCACATTCCTCCATCCTCCATTCACCACTGCACATCTCATCCACACCTCTCAATTGACGCCAAGCCCACGACTATCCTATCCCAAGTGAGCGAAAAGATCGGTAAACAACCGGTCTCACCCAAACTCCCCCAGCCAACGTCCGTGGAATACACACTGGGCGAAAACGCACACACTAATCTAGCCAACCACTACATCCCGCCACCACTAAGCACACGGTCTAAGCTCATGGACTCCAGTTCGTCTTCCCTGCTACACCAAGTCCCCTCCCACCCCTCATCCCTGAACCGCCACGTCAGTCATAACACACTCACGTAATTGCTCACTCTCAAGCACACACATAAGCCCTGACTGGCGGCTGTGCATGCTACGCAAAAGCCGGATAATCAGGAAGCTCACCTGGCAGCATCAACGAACAGCTGACAGACCATACTGGAACACGTAGAGAGCATCAATCAACAGGCTGTAAACGAACAGCTGACATATCACACTGGAACACGTAACCTAAGAGGGGGGGGGGGGAACCAACAACAACAACAACAACAACCTCCAACCAGCACCAGAAAAGAAGCATAGAAACCTCCGAGAATCTCTCAACCCAAAAACAGGAACCAAGTTACGTAGGCCAAGATCAGACAACAAAAAGCATGGCTCAAACTTACCAGCGCCGCTTCAGTGCGGTAGCAGCAACGAAGACAGCCACCTCAAAGACTCAAGCCCAAATGGTTTCCAATGTGGACCATGAGACACTGCACTTTCTCTTGGAAGCCCCGCAAATCAAGGGAGAAAAATTCACCATCAAAGTCAGAAATACCAAGGACAATACCGATGAAGAAGTGACAGCCTGGCCATATCTAAAAGACAAGATGGCCGACACGAACGCAACCTTCGAGAAGCACGTTCTCATTTTCACTTCTCCAATGCCGGAGCAAGACTCTCACCCGTGGAGAAAAGAAAATGGGTAGTGAAAACCATTCAGGAACAAGAGAACATCAAGACTGATGTCGATAAGTTCTCCCCGCTCGGCTTGGGCAGAATGATGATGGTGGTGTTCAAAGACGCGACACAAGCAACACACTTGCTGGAAAAATGCGAAACTTTGAACTGTAACGGCTTTGTCTGCACCCTGTCACACTAGAAATCGGAAACAGCACAGCGAGCCGAAATATCGCCAGCTGCTTCCTACAAGCAGCGACTGATGAGGGAACATCCCCGCCAGAGGCCATCCCCTGATCAAAGACCGCCTGGAAGTGGAATACCCAGCCAACAAGGTGTTGAAGTGGGTCCTTCCCACGCCCGACTTCTTGGCCCCCCACTGCGACTCAGTCACAACAGTCTTGGAGGTACTCACAGATGACCCTCCGATCTTCCCAGAAGAGTGGCAATCTCTCATTGGAGACAAAGTCACTGCAGTAACAGTCTCAACCAAAGCGTCGCCAATCTGTTTTAGATCCAAAGCCAGGGGCCACCTGGGAACGGATCCCAAATGCCCGCTCTCCACCGAATAGAAAAAATTGAGGCAGAACATGCTAGTAGAAGTGGAAGAAGCTAAAGGAATCTGGTTCGTCAACGACTGAGACTACGACGGCTGGGTCTTCGATAACAATACCGTCGGACGACAAATGGCACCATGTGGGGGCAAAGAAGATTACCCGTGTCCCAGGGAAAATCCACTCGGACCCGGTGATCGACTCCCGGGTGATAAAGGAAGAAAAGAAACATGAAGACTTGATGTGGGATCTGGAGTCGATCAGACAGAAGACAACTGCCGCTCTCTCTACTCCAGAGGACTAGGACAACATCCTGGACATAGCCAAACAGACCATCGAGGGACGAAGGCCACAGGCCGACCCATCCCGCAAGAAGCAGGTCTCCCCCCAAAAGACCAACGACGACGAACGAAGCGGGAAGAAAAAAAGGAAGGGCAACACACCTGCATAGGGAAGCAAACCCTCTAAGGACCTGAACCCACAGGCCCAGATCAAGCACACCAGGATCTGATCCAGCAAGGAATGGACATATCACCCACCAAAAAAGAGGACGCAGTGATATCAAGCTAGACTTCCCCAGCCTAGTAGCTAACATTTCAACAACAGCTTCTAAAGCATCTAGAATCATAGCAGCCCGCAGAAACCAAAGAATGAGAGAACTAGAAGCAGCAATGGCAGTAGCAGAAAAGAATAGAATCCAACATCCAACAGAGACACTTTACGAAGAAGTATGGACAAGAGCAAGAAAGGAACTGCACAATTGGCACATCTGGAAGACAAACGGCCTAAGAATGAGAGCAAGGATACAAGAATGGGAAGAGGGAGAAAGGATGACAAAACACTTCTTCCAAAAGATCAAAGCAAGGGGAAGAAACTCAACCATCCAACAACTAAAAGATGAACAGGGGCCCACATCGGACCCGAAACGCATGCTGGAAATAACAGAAAATTTCTACAAAAACCTCTATTCATCCAAAACAGATAACCCAACCCCAAGAAGAGTCAAAGAAGCAAGAGAATCCTTCACGAAACACTTAGACAAGACCATCTCCAAAGAATGGGCAGACTATCTTGACACACCAATACAATCGGAAGAGGTACTACAAGCTCTCAAGTCCATGAAACCAGGAAAAACGTCGGGCCAAGACGGATTATCAAAGGAATTTTGGGTACAATATTGGGACATCCTAGGAGTAGAATATACAAAGTCCATAGAAAAAGCATGGCAAGAGGAAAGTATGGGAAAANGGTACAATATTGGGACATCCTAGGAGTAGAATATACAAAGTCCATAGAAAAAGCATGGCAAGAGGAAAGTATGGGAAAATATCTCAGCACAGGAATAGTATCCCTAGTATATAAAATGGGCGACCCAGCAGATATAAGGAACTATAGACCAATTACCCTCTTGACAGTAGCATACAAGATACTAGCAAAGCTACTAGCAAACAGGATTAGCACGATCACTAAAAAGAGTTTCCATATAGACCAAACTGGGTTCATACCAGGAAAATTCATCTTAGACAATGTAATGACTCTAGCGGAATCGGTAAGAACCATCAAAGACAAAAAACTGAACGCAACCATTCTCTTCTTCGACTTTGAGAAAGCATATGATCAGGTGAATTGGGACTTCCTACAACAATGTATGGAAAAGATGGGAGTAGGCCCGACATTTCGCAAATGGGTCAGAGTGCTCTACAACGACACCCATGGGGCGGTACAAGTGAACGGCCACATCTCCAAGACATATCGTATGTCTAGGTCTGTCAAACAAGGAGACCCACTCGCAGCCCCCATCTTTCTCTTCATAATGGAGGCAATTGCATCCTTCCTAAGAAAAGACCCATCCATACACAGACTCTCAGAAGAACATCCGGGAGGAAACCAACATGCACGAATACCCACCACAATCCTATTTGCAGATGATCTGACCGTATTAGTCAGAGCATCCAACTCATCCTTTGAAGCCCTCACAAGAACCATGCAGGCATTCTAGCTAGCTTCTGAAATGAAAGTCAACTGGCAAAAGACGATAGGTTGGTGGCTAGCAGAAGAAACAATAGACAAACCACCCTCCACACCGGAGGGCTTACTGTGGGCTGAACTAAGTGACCCATTGCGTTTCCTAGGCTTACAAGTCTCAGACCAGGGCACAATGAACAACATGGCAGCCAGCCTCCTAGCTAAGATGACAGACAGACTAGACGACTGGACGAAGGTCCACACCTCCTTATTCGGAAGAGCGCTAGTACTCAATGCTTCAGTTTTCTCAATGATGTGGTACGTAGCAACCTTATGGACCCCAGAGGAAGAAGCTCTTAAACTACTGAAGAGGAAGGCATTGGCCTACTTGTGGACCGGAAACCCGACCAGAACCAACTTCATCTGCAAAGTAGCCTGGCAGCACGTCACAGCCAAAAAGCAAGAAGGAGGTCTAGGAATCATTGATCCTCCACTACAAATTAAGGCCTTACAAGCGAAATGGATCCTTAAGCTGATCTCTCGCCCGAGCCTCCCATGGAGACCGCTAGCCCTAGAAAGATTTAAACAACTGCCAGCCTTCACTTCTCCAGACAATATGTCAGGTTCCTTCTGGCTAACGAGTAAATCCTGGGCCATGAAACCAACAAGAACAGAGAGGTCTACCTCAAGATTGAACTCACGCTTACTTTTCTGGCAGGAACAATACAAGGCATGGAAGGAAATCTTCCCTGCAAAGGTCAGAAGACCAACCAACAAAGAAGAAGTACTAAACCCCCTCTTTTGCAATCCAGACATAGCCAATTCGGAAGGGATACCCTTCACCCTAACCTCTAAAGACACCAAATGGGGCAACTGGCTCGAAAAAGGATTATGGCAAATCAAACACATCTGGAATGACACATCAAGAGAGTGGATGACAGAAGCACAACTAAGACGGAAACTAAAGGGTTGCCATAACCTGGCAAGGAACCTACGAGCAGTACATGACTCAATACCGCACGAATGGTCTGAGTTACTACGGAAAGACTTCCTACGGAAACCCGGTGAATGGGCGGTTCTCAAAGATTCTGAAATACCACTCCAAGCCTTCCACTACGAGGACATAGAGGACGACAGATCCAATTGGCTTCGCTTCTCGTCTCACAAAATAAAAGATCCAGGAACAGACTTTTGTAACCAGTCAAACAAGCCAGAATCCCAAGTAGTAATAAAAAGAGATTACTAAGAAAAATAAGAGTAGTGGAGCAAGAATCCCTAATCATTYATCACCCTCTGACCCCATTACAGGACCTAGAAGTAGACCCAGCAGAATGGGTCTGGAATCTCAGACAAGGAAGGCTACGACTGAGTCAGAGAACCAACCTACTGGACTATACTACGAAACTAGGGTACAGACTGAGGAAAAGTTCGGAACCAGCTGACACAGTAATAGCCGGACGATGGTGGAAACACCTMGAAGTGGATCCCAAACACTTCACGGACATTCCATGGGGAAAGCTGACAGCACTCAGACCACCAGGCTTCAGGAGCCTCCAGTGGCTAATCTGGTATCTCGCGGTCCCAACAAACATATGGCTCAACCCCAAACGAAGAATGCAGGATAGAAACACCCTGAATGAACTATGTGTCAACTGTAGGGAAGAAAAGAAAGAGGACATTCTCCATTGCTTCCTGCTCTGCCAAAGAGTTAAACAACTATGGAAGCTGGCCGAAGATACTTGGCGGAGAGTCACAAACAAAGCATTCCCAGATGACCCTCTGTTTTGGCTGACGGGACAGGACGAGCCTGACTCATGGTCCCGCACCGAATCCATTCTTGGTGGGAGCCTGCGTAAGGCCCTTTTATGGAACATATGGAAAAAACGGTGTCAAGAAACCCTGGGCAAACACAAAAGAAGCTTGGCCCCTCATCCAAACACAGATAGAAACGGACTACCGCATACAATGGAAAAGAACTAAACTAAAAATGGAAAAAGAAGACGATAAAGCAATAGAGCATAGACTAAGATTTGAAGACCTGGTACTGGCCAACGGAAAGATTGGAAAACTAAAAGGGAAGGAAATAGTATTCACATTATGGGAGGACTCCCAGATCGCTCAAGAACACACATGTAATACCTTAGACAGTAGAGAGGAAGAAGAGATTACCCTTTCCGAA